AATCAACGCCGCGATACCGACTGTTCACAATATTTGAAATCTGATATTGTAATTTATCAACAACAAAATTCTTTCGATCGATCGATCGTATAGTATAAAATAGAAAGAGAGCTGTATACGATCGAAAGAGTTTTGCTGTTGATAAATTGCAATATCAGATTTCAAATACTGTAAACAGTCGGTATCGCGGCGTTGATTGGCTGGCTGTTGCCGAAAATAGGTGTTTTTTATTTGAACCCCCCCTGACAATCCAAACGGTAAAGGAGGCTAGGTGGCCAAGCAGGCGCCGTAGTAATTATCGGGCTTTCTAAGTTCCATATAATTTTAGTCTCGAAACATTTCGCTAAAAATCCATTGCAAAAATTATAGGACGTGTTAATATTGCGTTGTATGTTGGAAGATGGATGTTTATTCTATACGCTGGCGAAGTTTTACCGGGAACAAAGCAATTTGAAGGGGATATTTTTCGATTTAAATTGTTTGTGTCGGCTGTTTGAGAACTGGAATCGTTAGCCTTTGCTTTCAATACTATCACCTATGAAGACAGTCGCAGGCATCGAATGTAAAGTCGCTCAGAAATAAAAGACGATCACATACAATCAAAGTAGGCAAGTAAATATGATTTTAAAATATAAAATTCATTACAAATTTTATTGTTTAATATATTTTATAATGATATATTTACTATACACTGATACGCGTCTGGGCCGCCTGTGTTCAAAGTTCACGCTTCCTTGTGTTTCGGAATCCATGAACCGCCATTGTTGTGTTGCAAATACGCATGCGCTTGAGCACAAAACACGTATTGCGCACGCGCAGATAAGAAAAACTGATCTCAATCTACGACTGGACAAGAGAAAATTATGAAATGTGCGAAAACAGGGCTGAGTAAAACAAGATGACATCGGAATATTTTAAAAATATATGATATTTTTATGTTCTGTGCATTTTAATGGAGTTTACCAAACATTCTGAGCAATGTACCGTATCGAGCCCTCGCCAGGAACACTTCCAAGCCAACATTACAATAATAACTTATTTAAAATATGATGTTATTTTATACTACAGCAATTGCATAACGTTTGCAAGCGAATCAGGCTTTAAATAATATCACAATCCTAAATATTCTAAAACATGCATACCATAATTTCTCTATCCAATTCAGAAGGGGGGAGGAGGGTTTAATTCTAACTGTTTTGCACGTTTGATTCTCTTTATATATGCAACATTTTCCTATAGGAATTCCTATAGGAAAAATTCCTATAGGAATTTTGTCCCAAATTCTTATAGGAATTTTTCCTATAGGAATTCCTATAGGAAATTTTCGTAAGGGTACCTGGGTTTTCGAATTCTAATTAAGACTTCATTCAGATCAACCAGAGCAGCATTGGAGTCGTTGATATGGAAGGACAGAAGGAGTTTAGTATCGTCAACATATACGAGAATACTTCCTTATGGAACACCACTAACCACTGGTAATTTCTCAGATAGAATAGAGTTTATATGCGTACTGTTTGATATCTTTCGCTCAGATAACTTCTAAACCAAGTCAGGCATGAAGATGAAACGCCAACATCCTCCAATTTAGCAAGAAGTATATTGTGATTAATGTTGTCAAAAGCTTTACTCATGTCCAAAAGAATAACTGCCGTGACTTTCTTCTGGTCGATTGCTTTGAGAATGGAGTCGGTGGAATGGATGAGGGAGGTTTCCGTTGAGGGACAGGTTTTGTTGCCACTCTTATGCACAGAGAAGCGACGTTAGGTACTGGAGGTTAGTAATTGTATATATACCAGTATACGTACATCATATACTTTATATATATTAGAACATGGGTAAATACAAGAAAACAAAACTTCACGAACCTTTTTCATTAATTTCACCCGTGACACAACCATATAACTCAAGCCTCACACATGCATTGATACCCACATCATAACCTGGATGAACCCTAATATACCTTGCCATAATTGTAGGGTTTAGATCATGTCGTACAGCATTGTATACATTGGTGTTTCCACGAAATATCTGAAACAAAGTAGATATCCTCAACACTCAAATCAACATGCATCATCGGTGCTAGTGTACAGTAAATACTAAACAAGCTACCCAAACAAATTACGAGATGAACTATGTTTACTAATTGTGAATGTTTGTCCAGATGGATGATCCATATGCTTGCTGTGTTTATTCACAAACTAAAATGAGCAACCTCTTACCACCTTAATTTTTAATTAGGTTCAGAGTATTGCACAATATAATTATAAAGTTCACAAGGATGTATATATGTACATTTAATCCAAAAATTTCTATCCATGAAACATCTTTATCAAATTTACCTTCACAGCTTGATCTTTTCCTTGGTAAAAATACCATATTCCACCATCTTTTCTATATTGAATTTTATAGTCCTTAACCCATTCTGAACCTCCATTAAATTCTCGTCCTTGTGTGGCAATTCCTGTGATTTTTGTCAGATTTAATAAATCAATCTCAATATACTGGTCGTAATTCTTTTCACGTATTCTCCCTTCACTCACAACTACACACCATGCTCCCCAGTTTGGAATATTTTGGCGTAAACGAGCCTGTCTACCATCTGCTGTTTTAAGAAAACCAGAAACTGTGATTTGCGAGTCTTTAATTCTGCCATCTGCCATACCAAGTGGTGACATACATTCTAAACAACAAAATATTTGGCATTTATTATTTTAAGTGTACATTGGACAAATTTAGGATTGTACCCAACCTCGTACCCAGGGTTCTCTTTCTGTGGCCGAGGGCTGAAGAGAACCCTGGCAAAGGCTGCAGAGCATTACGTAATAAGTTATTTTTTCCCCGGGGGGGGTTATCAATTAGCAAGAACAGCCTGGTCGCAGGCTACTGTTCCGTTTCCGTTATTCATTGAATCGCTCATTCTATTTGATCGATGTGGCATCATTTATGGCACAGAATTTAGACATGATTTATGGCATGAAATGGCTCAATTGTATAAGATATTTATGCAGATGCTCGTAAACAATGTTGTTATGAAATGTGGTTGAATGATGAAAGGATAATATCTCAAATTTTGTATGTTCAAGAATTGTTAGAAAACTGGAAAGGGTGAGTATTTACAATTATTGTTAAT